TGGAGAACAAATATAAGTAAACAATAACGAACCATTGTCTAAATCATTTATCAATTCTTTCCATAAATTGTGATTTAGCGAAGAACTTACAATGTGATGAGCAATAAAGGATCTTGCAGCACAAAAATGCACAAAGGTTTCTTTATAATTTATAAACTTAATATTACTACACATTTGTCAAATGCTTCTGCAGTAATGTTGTACAGTATAATGCTGTATAAAGAGGACACTAGATATAACAAAATGGACTGCACCTACTGGAAAGAGATGCATAGGACGACAAAAGAAAAGATGGACAGATGACAATATAGAACTAGCGGGGAAAAACTGGATGAATGTTGCTCAAGACAAAGAGGAATGGAAGAATATGGAGGAGGCTTTTACCCTGAAAGATGCCAAACAAAAACTAGACCATTAAAAAAGAAAAAAAGGAACTTAAATTTTTTTTAACTAATACTAACACAACATATTGTACTAATATTAAGGAATGTAAACTAACCAATTTTTGTATTGATTAATAAAGCTTTAATAACAATAATAATGCTGTATACACAAACACTATGTCATCTTAAATATCTTATTCAATATCATTATGAATCAAATATTTTATTGTCCTATTTTTGAAGTTATACTTCTTTGGGCGCGTTATGAAAAATTGATGAGAGCGATATTTTACGATGCGCGCGCACCGTGACACAACATTAACAGAACGAAGTTTCCCACAGAAGATGCTACAGCTATAATTTAAAAACAACATTCGAATAATAATAAAATTTATGTTACACTTAACGAAAGAGAATAATAATAAATATTTATTTATTTAATTTTTCAAATGTAAACTACGCACTACTACTACTGTACTTGCGCACAACCACTATGTGGAACCAGCTGCCCACTGAAGTATTTCCGAACCAATTCGACTTAGGGTCCTTCAAGAAAAGAGCGTACCTATTCTTAAAAGGCCGGCAACGCACTCGCGAGCCCTCTGGCATTGAGAGTGTCCATGGGCGGCGGTATCACTTAACATCAGGTGAGCCTCCTGCCCGTTTGCCCCCCGTTCTATAAAAAAAAAAAAAACTGAACTTTATTGACTATAATGACTCCTTTTCCAGTCTTTGATTATTTAATTGTAATTAATTATTTGCATGCAATCAAAAACTATTTTTAATAATGCCAAAGTAATAATGCCGAAGTACACGCACCCTTTTTTTCTATATTATCTACATAACAATAGAAAATAGTTTTTTGACAAGATGGGCCCCTAAGTAGTAATGCCCAGAGCTCCACAAATTCACAATCCAAGGCAAATATACAATGTAAATACATAATTGTGTAGAAATATAACAAGGCAAAAGAAAATAATAATAATAGCAAACAATTAACACAATTATGTGTTAATTGTGTTAATACATAATACAAAGAATTTTCGCCAAATTCTTTGCGAAAAGGATTTGGCGAAAGGTCTCTATATAACATCGAGTCCACCGAGTTCATTTTTCATCACAGATTTATTGTAAATAATTTGGTTATAGCATATGAATTATTACAGTGAATTTGTATAGGTACCTTATGTGCGCGTTTTACAATCGAAATTGCACGCTTATGTTAACCGTGGAGAAATACCTAACGATAAGATTTGATATGGACAAAACATGACGTTTAATACACAAACTGAATAAACGAGATTTGAAGGGTAATGTCAATCAAGCACGCGGCGTTATTAAACCATTATACTTTATAGATTTTGTACATGAAATCGTAAGATTCGCCGGGATTGCTGTCTCTATTTGATGTTACAGAGTGCTGACGATGTTCCTTGTATAAAATTCGATCATTTTGACCTCAATAATAATAATTATTATTATTTTGTAAGGGGTAACCCTATTACCCGCAGTAGGAATTGTTAAGCTGAAACTGTAGATTACGGCTAGTCTTACTGTAATGTTAGCTGTAAAGTCCACTAGGGCTTTGCCAAATTATATTCAGCCATTTTGTAATACTATAGGCCAAGAATATATAGAAAATACTTTATGTATATAAGTATATTGGGAAAATAAATGAAACAAAGTTTTACGTTTGAGTTAGTTAAGTTAGAGTATTGGTATTCCTATGTTTTTTTTAAATTATACACTGGACCGTATAGATTTATGATGAATAGCAATTTATAATGAATAATAGGATCTTGCTTTTGGGTATCAACGTATCCAGGGAATAATTGCATTCCAAATGGGTCACAAATCGATATTAAATTTAACATAGAGAAAATTTTGATCCTTATTTCCTTATTTACTTATAAATGGGCGTGAAAAACAAAGGGCCGTGAAATACACACAATACTTAGTACAGATTGAGAGAGGTATCGGATAAATTATTGCGTCTATTGGCTATGGTGACGCCGTGACTGTGATGTCCAAGTTTGATTCCCGGCGATAGACTTATAATTTTAAAACAACACATTTATTCCACTAGTAAGTATGTATGGTGGCATAAATAGAAGTATGTACATTAAAGTTTAGCATACTCTTAAGAGGGAGATGCTCTCAGCTTTTGCTCCACCATCACAAAATTACTGTGATGAGGCACCTGTTTACAGCGCACTTCACTAGGCACATTAGAAAGTAAGTTAGGTACAGTGCATTTAAAACACAAGGAAGAAAATGTTAAAGATTTTTTTTTTAAATCAAAGATCGTTTTACAATTTTGTTAAACCCTAATGACTTTCATAACTTTATAAATGTTAAAATAAAACTGAAACACCTTATAACGAAGACGGTTTTATAAGTGCGACATATATGCTAAATTTATATTCGATTTAGGTCTATTCATGATCGTATCATCAATCACACCATAGACAATTTACAGGATAAAATGCCTCTCAGTAAATTGTCTGGCGCACGTGACTATGACCACAGATTAGGATCGGTGACGTAACACATTCGGTTTTTTATATCTATGCAACTGCTTATTACCAATGTTTTTATAGTAATAATTGTAATCGCATATTTTATAACTAATGGAAGGATATTGATTGAATGTGAAATTTGATTAAAAGGAGATTTTTACGACAATGTTATTGATAAACGCACGTACGTTCTTATTATGTGAATATTTTATATTATATTTATATATTATAGCAACATGTTGATAAAATGTGATGCACTTCTTGCTATGCTAATTACAGTTGGTTTATTAATTCTGAAACCACTGTAAAGAAGCAAACTGATGCTTTCTAAAATTTAATACCATACCTACTAGAGTAGAGTTAAGACTAAGGCGAATTAGAACAGTAAAATAGCTTTGAATTTCATTTGTACATACATACAGTATGCTCAGAGAGTGTTAGCTAATAAGAGATTATGGTCCGTAACATCTATTTGCTAGTGACAGTTGCAATATTGCTACTGAATCGTGCGAATCTCCAAGATTTTATCGATACAAGACCGCCGTGTTAGTTGAACTTTTACAAACCATTTTATCAGTATCTGTAAAGCGTCAAGAGGCACAGCACGTACTCGGCCCATCAATTGTAGCCCGCGCCTCGATCCCTCAACGTTATCGGAGCGAACAGCTTATGATCGAACGAAAAATTAAATTTTCTTCGGGAAAGTTCATAAATATCTTTTGTAGCTTTGATGATAACGCTGCGCGTGTAGGCTGTTTAGAGTTTCAAAAAGGTTAATGAAAATAAAATAGACACAAAATGTCCCTGCCCCATGTCTCTCTATGGATAACAGGATATTAACTACTATGGGATTGACCAATTATTATAAATTACAACATCATCATAACCTTCTTTTTTTCCATTCCATTCCATTCCATTTTTGTCCATGGGCGCTATGTGGCCTGCCCACCGCCGTTGCGATAGCCCTTTACGCGATTAATTACATACAATATTAAGTCTCCGATCATACTTAATTCGTGAAATGTTTTACAAAAGTATACATAATTAAAACAAGATTAATTATTACAAATTTTATTTTTTAAAATAATGTTATTCTGGAATTAAAATTGTACAAGTGACCGTCGAGTCATCTCGACGTCGTTTCGTGTGCTTTATTTTAAAAGTGCTAAATTAGTGAGTATTTTTAAATTTTTATATTTCGCGTAAATGGAAATCAGTATGATCAGTATAGTTTAATTTCGTTTATAGTTTTGTCCAGTACAGATCATTTCAAGTTTATTCTTGGTATACACATTTTACGTATATTTTCTTCGTCCCAGAGAGTATTTCTGAAAAAATAATACAAAATGTTAGTGTGCAAGACATGCGTTTAACACTAAAGAGATTTATAACTTCGATAATTGAAAACATTACTTTCGTAAGATAAAACGTATTACATCAAAACATAGTTTTATAATTAACGATTTTCGAACGAACCTTAATCAATTGCCTGACAATTGTCAGTGCCAACTGTCAACTGTTAAAAATCAACGCAATAACCTTTCTTTACCTACTCATAAATGTTTGACCTTTTATAAAATTCAAAAGGTCACAGCTTTGTTACATCATCGGATGAAGCAACAAAGTGAATCTTTAAGTCTGCATAAATTATAGAACAAAATCAATTTACTTTTAATGAGATTAGAAACCAAAAATGCCATGCATTTACTACCATAATATCATTTTATTGTCCGAAAAGCGTTGCATACTTCTCACCCTGTAACTAGTATTAATTAAATTAAGTTAAGATACGTTTCACGGATACGTAATAAGCATAAAATTCGCTTGATGAGGTTTAAGTTTTTATTTATTTTAAATTTGCCTTTTATTTTTCTGTTTGCCTATATTTATGTTCCTTAATAATTTTTATGTTCTAATGCCTAGACATAACATAAAAATTATCCATTATACGTACCATTTATAGCGTCACATTTTCTTGAATTATTTATGTATGCATATAGTTTTAAGAACTTATAAATATTGCAGTTAGATGAGGTATTGACTGCAAAATCTTTAGGAACAAAACAATACATTTTTGAAAGTCGTAAACACTAACCTTTTATTGAAATCCTTCAACTTCTTGCTCCGCATTACTGTCGGATAACGAATTAAGTCCCGCTATAGACGATTTTCCCGACGAGTTCACTTCATTTATATATTTGAGATTATCAACGAAGTTTTTGAAATGTTCCTTGTATTCCTTAGCATCATTATACGATTTATTAAAATCCTTAAGGTATTTCCCAAATAAATTTTTTGCGTCCTTTAAATCGTATATTATAGGCTTTTTACTTTGTTCTTCTCTCTCTAATTCTTCGTAAAATACATCAAATTCTTCGTTATCATCGTCATATTCGTAACAAATAGTTGTTATAAATAACGTCAACAAAAAACAAATAGTGTACTTCATTTCGGAACAGACGCTTCAAATAGTGTGCGAGATGATCGCTTAAAAGTATTCGATTCAACATGCTTTGGCCTCCAGGAACAAGTTTCTGCCGATGATAAATAGTTTTTATTATCATAATACGATCATCTTTGATTATGACTTTAATATATATCGTAGGTTTCGAGGTTGTGAGCTTGGAATGTCTAGATAAAAAAGATTTGCAATGTCATTTGTATTCTTCTTAAGGCAAAACTTGCAACAGTCATTAAAATTTTAAAAGATAAGTTAAATAAAAGTTGCTATGATAATAACATATCTGTGTAACAAGTACTTTAACATAGTATACTATAATAAATTATTTTCTATGCGTTTCAACACATACAACTAGACATTTTAAACTAATTGTTAACATAAAGTAATAATAAAAATAATTAAAGAAGACAGAAGAAAATCAAAACAAATTTAAAAAGTTTGGTCCCTGTGGCAGTGTACCTTTAACGCTGGCAGAATTTCCTCGCTGTATTGCGAGACTTATTCTTTGAGCCAGGAAAGTGCCAGCTCTGTGGTCACCGGTACTATCTACCAGGCGCCAACTTAAATCTTTAATAAGCGCCTGTGCACTTGAACCCCACGGCCCAAGAGTCTCTACTCCAAAGGGAACAAAATTGAAGTTGGAGGAAAGACTCTTATATTTGTGCCGTTTGTTAATTTCTGCCTGTTCTGCGGCCGCGCCAGCTTTTTTGCTTGTCCGAAGGAGATGAGACGGGGCAAAGGTGTCTACACAGGTAGCATCCCATACTAAAGCCCGTCCCATTTTCCAAGGGATCAAAGACATTCCATCCGGCCGCTTGCCATCGTCTCTTGCGATGCCTGTTGGCTCCAAAATTGCTGGAACATTGACGGAGGCAAGAGAGCGGCGTATAATGTCGTTTAGCGCGGCATGGCGAGAAAAACGACCTGCACTCTTTTGGCAGTGTAGGCCATGGTGTCCAAGGCTACTTACTTCAAAACCACAGGGACACTTATGGGGAGTACATATGGGCACTCCTAAGCGGAGGCTGATGGCAATTCGAAGTGATTCAGGGTCTAAAAGGGTGCCAGTGTTTGGCGAAGGATAAGCATTAAGCCAATGTCCAAAATGTTTAAATTACGTAAATTGATGTTCACCTGTTTGCCTACAAAATTCAGACAGAATAACAGTTTCAGTCATAATAATTTAAGTTATAAAATCGTTTGTTGTACCGTGTCATGTCAGGTTTTTCAACTTTAGACTGGTCTGAAAAGGTGAATCCAATTAATTTATATAAATAATATTCGAAGCCGTTTAAAGTGTTTGAATATAGGATTATTATTTTTTATATTTAGTTTATAGACGCAAAACCAATTAAAATTTTGATTTGGAACAGCATATATGTTGTCCTAACAATCTTTGTTATACAGATTTTATAAAGGATAAATAATCTATATTTAATGTATTTGTATGAGACAAACACAACTAAGACAAAACATCTCGATTACTGACTAACACAGAGTTCCTGTATATTCGGGTATCTACTGTCTAGGGATATACTTCAGGGTATGGGCCTCTATTTTTTGGCTTCTTTTAATGTCATCTTTACGATTACTTTTTTCTGGGAAATTTATAAGTGGTCTTAATTAATATTAAGATTAAGTTTTGCAGATTTGCACTTCTTTACAATTCCTTTTACTTTTCTCTTTAATTCGGGTTGCCCGGAAGAGTTCGCTTTGTAGCGATAAGTCCGCCCGTTGCTTTTTGTGAATTATTAATATTATAATTTATTTCTTGTGCAAAAGGAATAAAATAAATAAATAGATTAGAAGATTGAAAGGGTTCAAAGAAAAACTACGAAAATGATCAGGTCATTCAGGAAGAAATCTTATAATGAGCGTCTGAAAGCACTTGACCTTACTGATTTAGGAAGTAGGAGATTACGAGGAAATCTCATTGAAACCTATAAAATCCTCACTGGCCACTATAATGTTCCAGGAATTGAGACGCTCTTTATTTTAAGTGAAAATACACATTTGAGGGGTAGTTCTTTAAAACTTAAGACCACTCAACATAACACAAATTCCCTAAAGAACTTTCTCCCAAACCGAGTAGTGGCCGACTGGAATAGGCTTCCGCACCATCGTCGAACGCCTTTAAAAATAGATTGGATAGTTCTCCAAATCTCAAAATACACGCGCATCAGCTTATTAAAAGCTGCCAGTGTATTAATATACATAATAATAATAATAACCAGAGATTTGCGTTAGGTTAGCGCAAGGTCAGTTGGTCCATAATCATGTTCAATGTGTCCTGTTTCACTATATATTAAAACGACTACAGATAATGTACATACACAGGAAAATCTTCTAAATCTAAGATAATCAAGAGATGTTAGGGGTTTGTAAACGCGTCACCTCGTTAGTGGCTACAACCTCCTCTGAATACATAAACTTGTCATTCTTGATTAATCCGCACGTGACTTGATTTAACTGTTAAAGAAAATAGTTTGCTCATCCATGTAACCTTAATTCCCAAAATTTTAGGGAAATTTATGTCTGTTAATAAATTAAAGTTATAAATAAGATTCTCCCCTCCATACCTTGTAGTATAACGTAAACCTCTTGTATATATTATTAGATGTCTGTGTGTGTTGTCTTTATTGTGACGTCATTTTTGTTTTGGGTAACTGCTTAGATTAAATTCAATCTATCAAATCTATCCTCACCGTGTGAAGACTTAGAACGCAACATTGGCGGAATTGTGATTTACACAGAAGTCGCCATTATAAAGTGAAGTGAAGTGAAGTGAAGTGAAAATAGTTTGAGACAAATCAGAATTGGACGTCTTAGGTAAAAATATATTCTAACGAACGTGCACTTTCCAAATATACTCTTTTACAAAAAGACTTTAGTGCACATATGTTACATATCGCTTGCCCCGGGGAACAAAGTCATAAAGCTATTACGACTGTTTTGTCATTTTTGACTTCCTTGGGCTATTAGACCACAAGCCCATGAACAAAAAATACCTGTGAAATGACCCAACGTGAATTACGTTTAGAAGGCTGTTACTATATCTGAAAATAACTCTGAGCACTATGCCGTCATTTCTGAGGGGTACATGTGAGTGCGTGAGTGAATGGAATTTCTCAGGTACAAGTGAGGAATTTCGACTAATTATTAATGTACGGCTTTGTTATAAGTGTATAGATGATTAAAAATAAGTGTCGAAAAACCTAGTGCCGTACTAAAGTGATGGTACCGGAAGTCGGTGCAAATTTTTAATTCGACGATAGTTGCAGGAGCAATATAGGTCATTTATTACTGTACGGCATTTGTGTAATTCCTTTTGGACACATATACAGATACTTTACCCGTAAACGCCGTACATATTTCCAGCGGAGCGGTCGAAAGCCAAGGGTCGCAACATATCTCTGATTAGCATATAGGTGATGATGATATAGAACAACATAAAATTAAATGATCTTGAGAGTTCTTCACAAATAGGTAACATTTTCCAGCATGCCGTACATTTTTTGTGGAACACATAGGTGTATGGGGTAAATTAATTCCCTCTGAAAAAGAGTCATTTTCCGGTGACTTTTATCTGTACGGCATTAACACAGGTTATTAATACTTTAGACAATCTACAATAAAAGATAAATGCCGTACACTTTCGATAGTCCGCTAGTCTGTGAAATGGCAGATTATACCACCGCCTACCAATACAGGGCGTCACAAAGTTATGGGATATGAAGGGAAAGTACATCGGCTGGATATAACACAACGTGGAGACCTGAGACTGAAGCTAACCAAATTGGAACCTAATATAAAATTTATGTGCAACAAGCATCAAGCGCAGGGATCTCAATACATGAATATAAAACCTCCTTAATAAAATTATTTGGTATATGAATTTCTGTTTTTCTTTTTGTTTTTTTTATTCGTTATCTCAAAGATTTTACAATAGCTGATAAGTGATTGGGACCTCCTTTTAAGCGCATAAGCACTTGTGTTAGGAGAACCCGCTCTTCCATTACATAGGTGTACCAACTAATTATAATTTAATTTAACACGTATAGCTAAGCTAAGTATTACAATTTTACAATTTCTAAGCATAGTCTAAGGTTAAAATGTGAATAATGATATATGTGTGTATGTGTATGTGTGTGTGTGTGTTTGTGTGTTTATGAGAATGAATTTTCATGACTGATTGTAGAAGTTGACTAATTACTAGTGTATTATGATTCATGATTACCTACAAAGGCTTCAGTGTCTTCATAGCTAAATGTTTCTAGGATGTTAAGTAGCGACGTTATGAATTTCTGTTTTCCATTATGTTTTGAAAATTTAATTGTTGTTTCGTTAACACGTTCCTAGTGATTTCTTCATAAAACATATCAAATTTTTTAATATTTATTTATGTATGTTACATAAATAAGAATTTTCGGTACTGTAAGGTGCGGCTCAAAAAAGGAGGGGCAAACAATGTTCTAGACATTCGTCATAACGTGCGGCTTCTGTGTCGTCCGTAATTATGTTTAAACAGTGAAACATTCGTAAAACGCTTTTGCTCTTCAGTCTAATTAGATACACTAGACTGAAGTCTAAAAATATACATTTAGCTACTTTTGAACTATTTACACTAAATACATAACAACAATGTTTAAATCGACAAATAGGAAAAAATAGCTTTCGTTTGATATTTATATATTATATATGTACTAGCAGACCGGCCAAGCGTTGCTGTGGCTAAGGTTTTAGTTATATTACATAGTAGTAACCTATTCAAAGGGAACGGTAGGAGAACACCAGTCATGGGGACCACCATGTTTTTTTGGTGGTAATGCCATTAAATTGTAGCTTATTTTGAAACGTTGGTACTTTCAACACAGCGCCATCTGTTAGAATTGTGACTATCAAATAATAAACAAATATTGTGGGTATAAATTGAGATGTAAGCTATCCTATCTTTTAAGTTAGATCAAACTGCACACGGTGTGCAAATTTGATTGATATCGGTTCGGTAGTTTAGGAGTCCATAGCGGACAAACAACGTGACACGTAATTTATATATATTAAGATATGTAATGAACTTAGTATCCTAGTAAAAATAGCATTACCAAAATAAATTTCCTGCAAAAAAAAATCATTTTTCTTTTACGACTTTGTTCCTCGGGGCAAGTGATATTATGTATTGTCGTACATAAAAATTGAATTATTATAACTTTATTTAATTAAAAAAGGGAAAAACAAATTATGTTCCTTATTGCCGACCATTTTTTGTTGTTTGGCCGTGTACATCGGACATTTTAAAGAAGTCATCAAAAATTAATTTAAAAATTGCCATCATTTACTTCACGCGTATCGTGTAAATTAACATGATTATAAGTATACAGACTACACCAAGACAATTAAATTTCATTCAAATAACTCAAATCTATATTAGAACGTAAACTTTCTAAGGTTACATAGTGAACAAATAGGCAACATATTTAATAAAAACTAATATTTAAAACATAATAAAATTGTCTTTATAACACGGTCTATACCTATCTTTATTTTTCATTAGACAAGAAAAAAAAATACATTTTTAGTTAGATCAACTTCACATATGTATATGTATATCATTAAATTGTCGAAGCTACTACCCTATCGAACTATAACCCTATATGTGTGTGCGTGATTTATTTTGCACATAAATAATCAACTAGGTTGATTTTCTAAGATTGAGTAGAATATGTTGTTATTTCCCCCTGGGGGTCCCCTCCCCCAAAACAACTACGTTTTCCTTTATTAAATTGTTTATTTTTCATTATATAATGAATGTAATTATTGCCTTAACACAAATATTTTAGTTGGTTGGTTTGGTTAGTTGGTTTGAAATAAAAAAACGTATAAAGGTAGCTGTGTTGATAAAATACGCGCCTATTAAAATATCATGCTTCATTGGTAAGACTTTCTGGCATTGCTCATGCTTGTTGCTAAAAATAATTATATCTAACGTGATTTAAAAAAAATAGTAAAATGCAATATTAAAACCAATCGTAAAAACAATATTAAATTTTTATTAGAGTACCGATTTGAATTTGACGTCAGATAACGAAGAAACCTAATTTGAATGCAGTTTCATCTGTATCCGCAACACTTATGTGGGTCTCCAAATCGATAACTACCAAGAAGTTTTTATTAATACTCATAGCAAGAAAGCGGGCCCTTTTTGTCCTTTTCTTAGACTTCTGTAGTCAATCTTCATTCAAATTGTCACTTATCTGTGGCGCTATCTTTAGCGCCATTTTTACGTGTTACGTTACCACCAACTTATAGTCTAATATATAAAATACTCGTGTCACAATGTTCTCGTCCCCATACTCCTCCGAAACGGCTCGACTGATTCTTATGAAACTTTTTATGCATATTCAGTAAGTCTGAGAATCGGACAACATCTATTTTTCATTCCCCTAAATGTTAGGGGTGGTCCCACCCCTAAATTTTTATTTTTTAGACAAAACTTTTTGTTTTTATTTTTTTATCATACAGCATACAAAAATACATGCAACCCTTAATTGTTACCCCTCTACGATTGATATTGAACTAAAAAAATGTTTCCTAGAAATAATATACATGGCAAAACGACGTTTGCCGGGTCAGCCAGTATTTGATAAAGAAGTGTACGAAACTATAGACAATTATAGATAAATAAGCATTCGTGTGAAATTGTATAGTAATTTCTTAATTAATTTATATTGAAATTAGTCATTCGTACTGTTTATTTAGAATTGTTAGATACATTTAATTCTCTCGTAACATTTGTAAATGTAAAACTTTATAAATTATTTTAACGAGGTCCTAAATAATTATTGTTCCAGAGGAAAATCATGAAGGGTTGTGTTAACTAAGCGTTACAATAACTTTAGTAATGAGGATATTTTTATTTACTTTTAAAGGTCTACATTGCAAAATAGCATTATTTTCCGCAGATTTCAGATTATTAATTATTTTACTAGATGACACAGTTTAGTCTTTAAACTACGCAACAGATTTTAAATTAATGTTTCGACAAACTGGTTACCCCAACAGCGATTCAAAAGGATAATACGTAGAAAATTTTCTACATAGTATAAAACAAACCTGTTTCCCGCCATTTTTTCCGTGCGCTTTCCTATTTTTACTGAAATTCAAATTACCTAACAATTGTATAAATATTTTATATATAATTTAATTAAATAGTATTGATAAAAATTAAGTCACGATTGTCAAGCCTTTACTAATATATAATCACTTGTGTATAAAATTTGATGAAAAGAATAAAATATAATTATTTAAACTTGTTTCTTATTTGATTTGATCTTATATTGATAAATATTGAGTTATTTTTTCTTAACAAAGATGATGTCTCTGTGAAGTATACATATGTTTTGATATGTGTAAAACTTTTCCTACGCATATAAATCGGCTTGAAATATTGAACAACCCTGTTTTGGTTATGACAGCACCTTATTTGTTAACGATTAAAATAATTTGGAAGTGCTTGTAGACAACTTAGAGATATAGAATTTTTATCTCAAGTCTAAGAGATATTAAACTATATGACCAAAGTTCCAGTGCGCATGTTTTCGCCTAAACGAATGAAAAAGGACACTTTCTGTACTATCGAGACGAACGTCACACGCGTCGTAGCTGTTTCAGAGACAAGGGCAAAGTTTAGAACTATATTTAACAGAACCAAATTTGAAAAATCTCCGTTATATCGGGGTTGATAGTATTGTCTACTCCAATAAATTTGGAATAAAATATATAAAGTTAGCTGGCAAATTCAGCTCTTTCTCCAGTACCTCCAGTTTTATTTTAGAATGTTTTTGTGTTGCTTAATTTGAGAACGGTACTAATTTAATTACATTTTTATTGTTGCAAGGATTGCGCGTGAAATAATGTGTTAGTGATAAGCATGAAGATTTTTACAATATTAACAATACTTGGTAAGTTATTTTTAGCTATTTATAACATCGCGTTCTGATAATATTTTAATTATGGTTTGGTCAGAATGTTTTAAACTAATTTGGTTTTTTCAACATACATTTGATTATATTGCCTATGGTATTCGCGAGTAAGTACTACAAATTTTAATAACACTTCTTTAACAAGATATAATCGCGAATATATCATTGTTATCTCTTGCTATCTCTCTCTATGAGTGATGTAAATAATGTACAGTTTAGGTAGATAAGTAATATTTAAGTTGCATATAAATTTATATCCGTAATTGTGAGTAATTTGCGTCCATTTTTATGATAGGCAATATCGCCTTGAATTGACCAGCGTTCACGTGAACGAAATGGGCTAATAAATCACTCAATGTGTCCATTTCATTACCACTTTCTTCTTTTCTGTAGAACCCACTCAATAGTAATAACAAAAATGCTTCGTAAAAAGCTTTGAAAACAAGGCATCTGTAGAGATGATTATAACTTTAAGTCATGCGCTTTATTGTTGGAATATACTTAATTAAACTAATAATTTGCACTAAACAACTTAACTTAAAAGCATGGCATCCATTGGCAAAAGAGTGCGTTGTTTTTCTCGCCACGCCGCGCTCAACGACATCGTACGCCGTTCTCTTGCCTACGTCAATGTTCCAGCCATTTTGGAGCCAACATGCGGACGGGATATCGTTGATGCCTTAGAGGGTGGGACGGGCTTTGGTATGGGATGCTACTTGTGTGGACACGTTAGCTCCCTCACAGGTCCCTCGGATAAAATCTGGGGCGGCCGCAAAGCAGGCGGAAAATAATAAACGGCTCAAATATAAGAAGAAGAAAAGTCTTTCCTCCAACTTCGATTTTGTTCCCTTTGGAGCCTACTCCAAAACCGCGCCTGTGCACTTGAACTAGCGTTAGGGCTAGGGGCGCTAATTAAAGATTTAAGTTGGCGCCTGGTAGATAGTACCCAGATCCCAGAGCTGGTGCTTTCCTCGCTCAGCGAATAGGTATCGCAATGCAGCGAGGAAATGCTGCCAGTTTATAAAAAACATAAACTACTACAGGGACCAAACTTTTTAAATTTGTTTTAATTTTCTATTTAATAATTTATTTATAAAAATAATATTACTTACCATATATTATCTGTCTTCCCCTAACTTTTATTATATATTTTAATGGCATATAGTAGTACAAAACAAACAATGTGATCGATTTATTTTATTTATTTCCTATTTTTACAGTAACTTAATAATAATACAACAGAAAACTTATTAATATAAAAATTAAACTAAAAACATAATATAAACATAACAAAAACCTAAACCTATTTATAACTAATTATAAATAATGCAATTCTTGTGAATTCAGCCAGTGTGCAACTAAATGTATCCGTCTCACGTGCAGTACAGGGTGTTTGACAAACATTCAGGGTGTTGTACGAGTATGTGTACACAATATAATATAAATTATTGTTAATATTTTATTTTATTTTTTATAAAAAACATAAACATATGAAAAAACATACATAGCAAATCAAATTTGAACATCTGTGTTTTGCTTGGTTGACTGATCAAGTTTATTGTCTACCCACATTTTTGTTGCTGTTTTATTTTGTTATTTTATATATGTACCTATATCTCTGCGCTCTAATTTCTAATGTTTAATCTTAGTTTTAAATATTGTTTCTCAGTAAGTGAATTATGTATGCAATTCTTATGAGAAATAAAGTTATTCTTAAACCATAAACCATAAAAGACATATAGTAATATTACCCGTTGTTAAAGATGCATAGATAATTCATTCATGAAGTGAAACCGTCTTCATAAAAACCCAGGGAATTAAACGAGCAGCAGTAGAGTACGTCAAATGTATATATTAGCGGATGATTTTTTCCAGCATTAACCTCAGCATACAAGATCACGCAACTAAAGGTGCCGCTGTATGCAGACCCGCGGCGTGCTGCAGAACTCATCTGTGATTTTCAGATGAATGACGAGACTCTACACTCTGTCAAGTGGTATAGAGATATGCATGAGATCCTTCGATATAATCCCTCTCAAAAGGCAAGTTCTTAGTTGTCTGTTTTCTGAGTTTTATACAGAGGGCATTGGGATTCTGTACCACGCGAGCCGATACTAAAAGAACTGCATCGAAATTGGTTAGACATAATAGGTCACTTTAGAATAATCTACATCATTATCTACGGAAGTTCCCCACAATATTATAACTGCAGCGCGGCAGCTTTTATAAAAAAAAGAATCATTTAAAGTTGCTTAATACATACCATTATTCCTACTAGTTTTTGAGACACATATCAACTTTGAATCATTCACAACACTTGTATTATCCTTTTTGTAACATATATTTATAAGTGATTGTCCTAATTTTCAAGTCCTAACATGACAACATAAATAAAATAAAATATGCTTGTTGCGTAAACCACGTAGAAGCATTAGTCTGCTCTCTTACGTCTATGTAAGTGGTTAAATTCAAATCGCTGACAAGCCTCGTAGTCCATTGAAATGTAACAATTAGAGGGCCAAACTGAACATTCGTTAGATGACGCAATTGTATTTATTGAATATGTAGGTGGGTATCAATACAAGCTTAAACCCAAGTTTGTGGGGTTGGCGCCCTTTACCCCGGCCGCCATCTTGGAAAAAGGGATGAAAACACATGTTTGGCTATATCTACTAAACTTTCCATCGTACAAAAAATTTGTGAAAACATATTTTGTAGCAAATCGCTTTACCTACCATTATGTCTGTGTGACTTTTTATCATAAAGCCAAAATTCAAAAGTTATGTTGTGTGTTTAACTCTGGCAAAGTGTCAGCTGAGCTCCCGTCACCAGTAATTGAACTTCTACGACTTATTTTATAGTAACTATTCTATATAGTTGAAACTGTATTTATTCTTTAACAGCCTTCGATAAGACTATTTAACGTTACGGGAATAAATGTGCAAGGCGGTGAGTGCCAGGCGGAATGGTGTATGGTGCGAGTGATGCCTCTACCGTTCGCCGTCCGAGCGGCCTTTACTTGCGAGATATCCACCGAAGGACCCAGATTCCAGATAGCGAGACAGACCAAGCAAATGACTGTTGTTGGTTAGTTTTCTATTATTTACGACCATACTATATCATATTTTATAGCACAAATGTTAATTGTATTAGCTATCGTTTCAATCATTTACCTTCTAAGGGACTTTAGTCGGTTGTGACAAGATTCAGACTTGAGCGCAAAGTATGACTCCGTATGTCGAAATCCATGACATTTATGATGATTTAATGATTTTGATGATCATCTCCTGCCAGATTTTCTAAAGAGAAAACAAAATTAAAATTTCTCATACTTTTGTTTAATTGACTATACAATTTTAATATTTAATGAGTCTTAGGCGTAAAATCGTTCACAAAATATTGAAGCAGAAATGTTCAGTTGTGTTCGTTTAGGTGGATAGATTTATTTTTTATTTCTTCGTCTTGCCCATAAGTGCTTGTCACATTAATTATTGTATTTTATTGTTCTTGTACCAATGTATCAGTGTGCCGAGTGTTGGCAAGCTTTTATATAAATAAAAACCTTGTGTTGATAAATATTTGTATGCATAATAACTTACTACTTCCTAGCAATGCCAGAGAGGGATCCTGTCATAATTGGAGCTCCCAAATTAGTGAGACCTGGAGAGCATGTATTGCTTAATTGTAGCTCGGACTTCTCGCTGCCACCTGCAGATATCAATTGGTATATTGGTAACGAGAATCAAAAGGTAAGTATATATATTTATCAATTATAGGATATTGGATTAAAATACGAATAATTCTGACAATTGTACAGTGTAAAAATACGTGTGTGTACTTATGTACACGCGTTAGAAGTTATACTTCTTTGGCGTAATAATTTTCTTCGAGCACTTTAGACAGACGTTTCCCACTTCGAATTGCATTTTTCTTGTCCATTTTAATGGTCACTTCCAACCGAAACGATATAATATGTACTAATAATGATATTTTACAATAAAAACAGTTTTTTATCACATTGGAACGGGTTTTCTCGTATAGAAATCATTATGTTGGTAAAATAAACACGACTTTGTAAAACACTACACCATGACAGACAATGCAACTTGTAGATAAAACAGCAAGCGCCCAGACTGTTTTACCGACGTTTGAACAGGGTGTCGGTTTTTTGTGACGGTGTGCGCGCGCATCGTAAAAATTTACTCTCATCATTTTTCCCTAACGTGCCAAAAGAAGTATAACTTAAAAAAAAATATCGGTTGTCTGTAAAGTCGGTTTACTGACGATAGTTGAACGTGACAACGTCATAAGAAAATACTGATGGAATGGTTGCATTCTTGAAAAGAAAATTTTAATTTTCTTTGTTAGATAGATATTTTGTATGGATATAGAGAAGGAAGTAAATGGAAATCACAATTGAATTGATCAAGTTACATTTATTTGTACGCATAAATACAATTATGTAAATTTTTGTGTGCAAGCGAGAGCGCGGAACGAGTGCTCTCGCTTGCATTTCAAGCCTTAATGGAACGCCTCAGAGCGAGGTAACGCCGCATGAGTCATGTTTTTTCGTGCGTACAGCCGGCTCCATCGAATTATAAAGGTGGGAACTGACCAAAGTTACGAGGTGTAATGTAGCATTCGCATCGAGCGTGTAACGCATCAAGCATGTTACGCTGTGTTTAAAATCAGCGTAACATGCTCGTCAAAACTCTGTGCTCCGCTTTCGCCGCCAGTGTTCACGAGATGGACGAGGACGCGTTGGTATCTTCGATTCTACTTAATATCTATTGTTTCATCCAAATTAAGGAGAAGAAAAAATGTGGTGTATGTGGTGGTTTGTCATTGATAGCAATTTTAAAAAACCAAATGATTACTGGACAGTATAAAAACTTTGTTCGCATGTCTCCGATCGATTTTGAACAACTCGTGAATTTAATTGGACCAAGTGTACATAAAAAGGATACAAATTATAGATAAATATAAGAGCGTACTGACCGCGTAACTCTCAAAGAATTCGCCAAAAAACCGACAGCCTGGTGGAGCACTCAAAGCGAGCGAGCGGCTCGTTGCTTGCTGATTTCCCCGTAAAGGTCGATTTACATCAAACGAGCGAATGCTCATTCTATCCCCACTACATCAAATTCTTCTAGTGTAAACAGGCGTAGAGCATTCTTTCGTTGTTCTTAGTGCGTTCGCAAAGATTCTATAGAATATTCTAAGAATGCTCGTTCGCTTGATGTAAACGGCGCAAGAGCGCGCGAACAGTTGCTTAGAGCGTTCTAGCGTGTTCGGACGTGCTCGCGCCACTGAGCGGTCTTTTCAAAGCGTTCTTGTGTTCTAGCTCTAGCTCTATGTTCGTTTGATGTAAATCGATACCTCTAGCTTTCGTTTACACTTAAAGATTACGAAAGAATGCTCTTGTTCTAGCTCTAGCTCTATGTTCGTTTGATGTAAATCGACCTTAACACGACGTACTGACTGCACGAATGCTCGCTGTGTAACATGATACATTACACCTCGTAACGTTGGTCAGTTCCCACCTTAAGACGTTGTCACGTCAAAAATTACAAAAACTTAAATTAGTGTTAAGCATGTGCAGATAATTTTTATCTGGTAATGTGTCTTTCAAATTGAGGTAATATAAGTTAATGATAAAAATTTTACATTAATCAATTAAATCTTTCTCCTAACCACTAAGCCGCCATCCATAAGCGGATCATTATCATTTGAAATAATTTCATTGAATATTCTACGACTCGTCGCCACCAATATTTCGTATATAACTTAACCGTAAAGACCTTTGCATTTCAATAATAATTAAACTAACACGTCTTTGTAAGACCAGACGTTAGCCGAACATTTTGCATCAGCAAATAGCAATAGACACAAGGGGCTACACTGCAATGTTACCAAATACTCCTTAACCTAACACATGGGTACTTCAATTCAAGTAAAGACTTAGCCCGAACTAACATTGCTTTCAATCTCAAATGGTATTAGAATATTTGGATTAATTCATGATATCTGTCTTTAATTAAATCAATTGATATCCTGTTCTAATATACCTAAACCTTGAATTGGTGATAGCTGCATATACATGCGAATTTTGAGTTTATCAAGAACAGAGAGACGATTTTACGATAAAATAAAGCTTTTATCAAATATTATTTATTCTTTTTAAATGCTTAGCAAGAGCAGTGGCAGCGTACGGAGCTAAGTTTACCCCAAGCGGGAGGTTTACGTACCTCCTGGCGCGTACTTCACCTTGCAGTCCCGACAGTAGAGAGCGGCGCATTGCGCGTGCGCTGCGAGGCTGCGCTGCCAGTGGAGCCACCAGTCCTACGTGATACTAGCATTGTCCTTACACTGTATTCGCGCACGCAACTCTTCTCCAAATACGTTGCCAACACAGGTAAGTTTAGAAAATTTCCTTCAGAAGCAACGACACATCAACAATTTTTGACTGTAGTTTTTGCGCTATATTTAATGGTTACTGACCCATCTCAAAAGCGATTCTGACAATTTTGTCTGAATCGCCTAAACATTAAAGTCCATTATTCTGTCAAAGTTAGGCGAAACGGTCAAATTCAGTCCAATCATGGTAGGATTTTTTTAATGTAATAGGAGGCAAATGGGCAGGAGGCTCACCTGATGTTAACCGCCGCCCATGGACACTCACATTGCCAGAAGGCTCGCGAATGCGTTGCCGGCCTTTTAAGAATCTATATATTAGTTCGGAAATACTTCAGTGGGCAGCTGGATCCGCATAGTGGTGGTACGCGGAAAAACTTTTCAAACAAATTGAATGAATGAAATCTGATTACCTATTGCCGAGGTGGAAAGATAAACTACCTGTTTTATTCGACGCCTTGATATGAATAAGCGTTGTATTTTAGTTATAAGTTGTGAATAGGCTCGCAATAAGAGCTCATGGTAGGCCCCCAGATAGCAAACGCTATTGGGTGTTACCAAAAAGAATTATACAAACTATTGAAGTAGATCATTAGAATGGATGACTTAATTAATAGTCACGTGTACTAATAATAGTTAAAAAAACTCTGTTCTGACACTTATTGTCACGTTAGGAAGTTTACGGTTTCCTCGTACACACACAAGAAATTTTAGTACACTATATGGTATAATATGTAAGAGATGTTTTAAGCTGGTGCGCTCGACTGAACGAGTTTTTAAGATAGGAAGTTAAATCCCGAATTCGACCTTAAATCTAATTTATTTTTTGTTTTATGCATTACAGTTGAAACAAAGCCAAGAATTTTGCAGGAAATTAAATACACATTGCAATAATGTTTTAGCATTTTATTACCATTAAGAATACTAAGTCCTGCAAGTGAATGAAGATTAATTCGAAAGTTTTAATACTAGGCACATCAGTCAAATTGGATTTTTTGTATGAAAAGTATTGTTAAATTAACAAATATTTTTTTTATTTAGTTAGCCAACAGCTTTATAAAAATTACAAAACCAAATGTTTAAAACGAATTACCCTAGTAAAATATAATACTTATATAAATATTGGTGTGTTTGTGCGTACATTTGTGTATGAGTATGTGTGATTACTTACTTAATACATTATTTTGTATATCATTATTGTAGGAGGCGTTTGTTTTATTAAAAATGTCAAATTGAGAAAAAAACATTATACAGTGTGTACGTATGTGTTTATGTGTGTGTGCATGTTTGTGAGAGGTTATGAGTGACAATTTACTTTATAAATTTTGTAGGAGGCTTTTGTTTTATTAGATGTCAAATTGAGAAAATAAATACAGGTACTTGCCACAAACAATATTACTCAAAACAATATTGTAAATTTTTATATAAATTAGATGTTTTACGGTTAAGTATTATGTAACATAACACAAATGTATTACGAAATTTATTATCCATTACAAAGCATTTTTCACGCCGTTTTTTAATTAATTACTAATACCAATATCACGCATATACTAAAGCCACCCATCATAGTTATGTCTCGGAATCCGCCACCCGATTTTTTCTGTACGTTACACCATTTGTCCCAAAATAGTCATGGAAAGTTATAAAAAAATGATTAAAGTATTTTATTTTTACCTTTCAGGCGCAAGAATCGACTTTCAGTTAGTGTGGGCGACGATGTGGGTCTATGTTCTAATAGTAATAACATTATGAGGCACAAACATGACACGTTAAAATTTAAGTATTACGAACAAAAGTACAAAAACAAAACGAAATTTTTGATAGTCGCATTGTGATTTCAGCAAAGGATTTGCAATTGTATAAGTGTATTTAATATTAATATGATATGGGGTAGATACTAATTGTCTGTGTCCGTTTCACTGATAATGTTTACCAGTGGCGTAACAATAGGGTGGCAGGGCTGGCAAAATGCCACGGGCCCCCGACCAAAAAGGGCCCAAGAGATATTATGTTCTATGGAAGAATGTGAAGTCTCCAATAAGCATTGGGCTAGCGTGGTGACTACAGACCATTCCCTCTCGCCTTAGAGAGGAGGCTTATGGCCATTAGTGGCACATATACTACGTGTAATTGAGTACGCTGAAAATTTCGAAGTTTATTAAAATTAAACTGAGTACAACGTGACGATTTTTACTGATAGGGTCCCATCAAAAGTATTTGCCACGGGCCCCAGATGGTATAGTTACGCTACTGATGTTCACTGAATTTAATGTTTGGGAGAGTTAAACTAGGAAAAACGCTGACAACACTGAATTACGGTTTTTATTTTTTAATCTTAATGGAAAACCTAATATATTTAATACCGTAGTTTTTAATTTATTTTAATAACTGTAAATAAATTAATTTCTTAGCTTTCTTACGTTTTAATATTTGTATTATATTTTTGTAGATTAGTCTGTTATAAATAGTTTTATTAAAGTCATAAAATGTACTTTTCATCTGTCTTTATATCCTTATTCTCTAATTCATAGTAAAATAGTTTAATTTCAGAACTGATATTTGCATATAGACGATACAGGTAATATTTTAATAAAAACAGTTTCAATGTTATATGATGACGAAATAGGTATTTTGTCTTTCGAAACGAGAAACATTTTATACATATAAGTAATTTTTAAATAAGTCAAGCATAGACGACAGACTTGTTTTTGAAGGGTTTTCTTAGCTTTTTTATACACCTCTTGAACTGTCGCGTCTATTCATGCTCTGTCAGGATGTTTTCTGAAAGCTCTTGGCTGTTTCTTAAAGTATCCTATTTACTCCAAGTACTTTATCTACGCTCGTAGTTATAGAAGAAAAACCTAGGTAGTGAATATAAGAACACTTTTTAATTTAATTGCCTGAACTGTTCTTAATTTTTAAAAAATGGTTAATGGCTATAATATAACCTACCTACCGTAACAATTCTAGGTAATATGTGAAAATTTCGAAATTCTAGGTAATTCAGTAATTATGAATATTGCCACATCTATTGTAGCAAATGAGGAAAACGAAGTTTTATATTTTTACTCTCAAAAAATCTCTTCGAAGTTTCAAAAAACTGATGACAAAAGTCAGGTATTACACACAATTATCGTTTGTTTCTCAATCTTGTCTGCTCCAAATAACAAAAAATATTTCAATATATCGAGGAGCAAGATTTATAATATCGTTTTTATAAGATATATTACTGTAATATAATACGTGTAGCTACACTTGAAGAATAACTAACCATTTCATGAATGATCGGAGTACAATTTATATCACTACGACCGAATTGACATGATAGAAATCAAAGTGGTCTAGTTTTAAATAAAAAGATATTATACGTTATTTATCTCTGTGTTTATTCAATTAATATAATTATTTACTTACTACGCTGACGCCACTAAGCGAGCCTTGGTCCCCGAACTAGAGAACGCGACCTATTTATGAGTATCTTGGAATATCCCGAAATACAGATCGTTGGAAAGACGCCGTGGAGAACCGTGGAGGACAATATCTTGCATATTTCATTTGTTACATTAAATTTACTTACCCGACAGAAATACAGGTGCCTGACTACTTAAGTAAAATCGATTTTTTTATTAAAACTAGTCCTTCGGTAAGAATATAATTAAGATTGCTTTAGACGCCTTAACACCCGACATGCTGTGGAACTAAAATAAACTTTTAATTAAAAATATGCGTTTTATTTTTAGTTTAAGGTGACATTGAGGTAAGCTTACCGTATCGGTTTTATTATAGAATGAATATTCTTATTTTCGTTTCAAGATAAACAGAAAATGCTCGTGATTTTACGAAATATGAAGTTTTATTTACAGTTTCATATTTCTATCTCGATACGATAAACCTTGTAAAGAAACCATTATTGAACGCAAACATTGGCAGGCAGAAAATGTAACATTATACATTGTTGATTATAATAATCCCAACCATCGATTAAAATAACAACTGATGTATTTATTCACAAATTCATCAAAAACTCTTTTATATGTTCGATAATACACTTTAAAAACACAAACTTTGGTGTAGAGCTTCGCAAATCCTGCGTGGATTTAACCGATTTTTTCCGTCATATTTGAGACGAGGCTTATCCAGGTTGTATAAACACACCTCCATTTCAGACGACGTTGGAAAAAGGGGCTGTTTTGAAATAATAATGCGATAAAAGGGCTTATAATCTGTTGCGGATTTCCGATCTTATCTTTCAACGAGTTAATAATAATAATTATTCCATTGTGTGTTGAAAACATTAGATAATGGTTTAAATAGATTGTCCTTCTTTATGTATTCTAGGCCTTGTGATGTAGACTATATAAACTAAACTGGCAATGGGCTTGTCACGTCACACAATACCTGGAAGAAGAGTGGTTGCACGTCGTGTTACAGATTAGCTGAAGTTAATATATGATTTAATGAAAGTAATACAATGAATACAAACTAATATTAATTATATAATATTAATAAAATAGTAAACTTTATTAAGAAAAAACTCATGTCAATACTTTGTCATTATCTACTGACGTAAATTTAAAATACGCTATTATCCGAATATTGTGGATATATCTTGTCGATTCGAAACCTTCATTAAATACGTTCTTTAATTTGAGGGGAGAGTTTACAGTATCCACGGTATGAAATAAATGTTTGACAGTTACGAAACCTATGAGAGCATGTTGTACATACTAGATTTTTTTTTCGTAAATTTTCAAATACAACAAATCAAAAACCATGAAAATTGGTCCTGCCGTTCTCGAGTTATAAGTATTCGAACAAACCTGACTTTATGTTAAGATTTGACATTTGCATGCTGTGCGGATTTTTTTTTTCATCCATCATAATATGTACTACTTTCAAGGCAAATAAAGGATTTATTATTTTTTCAGACAATTATAAAATTATTAGCTCTAATATTAAACTATAACATGCTGTTACCGCTACGTGCTGTTTTTTTTATTTATCTTTGAAACTCCTTTTCATCGTTACATTAATAATTATAGAGCTATTATTCAACAAGATGAAATAACAGCTTTCAATTATATCTTGGCTATTCACTAGTATAGCTTAATAAATTTTAATTGGACTCTATCGCTCCAGTTCTCAGTTTATAATTTATTTTTATTAAATAGATGGATGTGATATTTACAATAGCGAACATTCAAACAACACCAATACTGTGCAGCAAAAATCGAATAGTGTTTTTTACGAATCAAATTCACATAGGTATACCAGGCTAATAATTTAAACTCTCTTTACTAAACCATAAAAATTATAGCTTAGTGAATTTTTAGGTTCTGTATAGCTTTAATTATTAATTTAGAAACTGATTTTAGAAGTTACCGCCCACCTACATCCTGTCTTCATTAATTTAATTTTTTCCCGGTTTTGTGTTATTCTGATGTAAAAAAGGTATTATTATTATATTTTGACTTATCTGAAATTATATCTATTTGGTTATTTTAGTAATGCGCGATAACGGCTGCCGTTAAAAGGCTTTTTATGCATATACAGTGTAAACTGTATATAACGACACTTAAGGGAGGACTGTGCTAATTTTGACGTCACAAAACGATGTCGTTAAATGGAAATAAGATAAATCTTTATTAGAAAAAGTTTATTTCATACTAATGTTAGTAATTACATAAAAAAACAATTCTTATTTGAACGCTATTGCATAAAGTCTGTTATTTTCGTCTAATGTCTTTTGCTGCACCAGTAATTATGTTGTATTTTTTGTTTTTGTTCGTTCGACGTTTTAGGGGATTTGTCGTTACATGATCGTTACATGGAGTTTACACTTATTTTAAAATTTATTTCGTATTTGTTTGTATTATCAGATTTGAGCAGAATATTTATAGGTTTATTAATACCGATGTTGAGAAGCTTATAGTCTTCGAGATTCTAGATTCTTATAGAATCTATTATATTTTAATAATGGTACCCCTTTTTTGGTTAATATTATTTTACAACGAAACTCTTTTGCAAAAAAACGGGTATCTAAGAAAATATGCGTTCTAAGGTCTGCTTCAGTTATTTTTAATTAAATTGTCTGACGTAGTCTTTATATTTATAGTCTTGTAAATTGATAAGCGTGAAGTAAATTCTGGATTTTTTAAAATATATTTGTCACACAAGAAGTGGCCGACAATAAAGACAAAAAGATATTTTTACTTTTTTTAATTAAATAAAGTTACAAATGTAAAAACCTAAGAACGAGTCTGACCTCTTAACGAGTTTATTATGTTTTAATAGTTATTAAAATAATTCTTATTGTTACGCCCAGAATCAGACCGTATTTTTATTTTTTCTGTTAAGTAAACTCCAAAATCTCTACGGACGTAATAACCAAAATAACTAACGACATAATCCGCCGCCAAACATTTGTGTTTGGCGCCATTGTGTTGAATGTTCATAGACATTTTTTAAGACAAAAGAGGTTTCATGTAATGCTGTTTCGGTACAAAATTCTACATTCCCCAGTGTTAGAATTTCCTATGGCACAAAGACCACATCTGGCACTTCCTGAATTATGTTAGTAAAATTTAATAATCTTTACCGTACCAGCTGGAGATGGATGGCGATTCTAACTTTTTCGATCGTAAAACTTCCCGAGTTACGCGGTCAACTTTCATGTAATATGATATTGTTTCCTTTTATAGTGTCTTCTTAAAAGGTTATCAGGTTCTATTTTTTATACTATAGCATATTAT